TTAACTTCTGTCCCTATCCAGTATACCTCATTGTTTCCTGTGGAAGCCCAAATTTCCTGGCCTACATCCCTGTTCTACCCCTATTGGAGAACCTATCTGTTGTATTCATTGTTAATTTGTTCTTGTCTGTAACATACATGAAATATTTGCAACTGGAGGTAAAGCAACCACATTTTATTGTGAAGGAAATAAAACATTGCCCCAGTTTGAGTAACTTTACTGTTTCTATTTACATTTTTGGACAATGTACTGTCCCATTGAAAGAATACAAAAGGTATTGTTCTCAGTGGATTTTATTCACTGGGACCTTTAAATTTCTCTTAAGAGAAATCCATCACTCATTGATTAATATACATGAAGAAAAAATTATCTACAAAATAGATGAAATTACATGTATCAACTCACAAAACTGCATGTGATGTTGTATTTGTTCAAAATCAATATTACATTTCAATCTGTTCAATATAAGCACTGATTTAATCATATAAAGTTGATTTCTGACAAAAAATTTGGCATTGTTTTTTTAGCTAAGTACAACAGTAGGATTCTTGTTTGTAACTTGCAGATCAGAGTTTGTTCTTTGTCCTGAATTGATAGCATTAAGGCCCTAGACGTGCACTGCAACTTAGCTTACAAATGGAGCCTTGTTAAACATAGAAAATTCTTATATATAAGAATTTATTAATTTATTAAAACCAAATACTGTAGATTCATTTATTTTCGTGAATACCTATTTTTGTGGATTGACAAAAACTTGTCTTTTCCTGGATAACATTTTTAAAAATATGTGGGTTTGCCCAAGTCTGAATATAATCCTTAAGAAAATATGTACTTCATGGAACATTTTAATTTGTGGTATACTTATACCCATGAAATGACATGAATATAAATATACCATAAATAATAATGAATCCACAGTATAGTAAAAAGTCCCATGCTAAGCACTCTGTAAATAAAGTCAATTTTGTATTGATCTCAAGCGGGTAACTTAGTTTTACATTTAAGCCTTTGGCAAATAACTTTAGAACCAAAAACTCAATTTAAATTTAAAATGATTGAAAGGTTCCTAGTGAGTTACTTCTCAAGTGTTATTACTTCATTGATGCTCTGTCAACAAGATGGAGCCCCCTAGAGGGTCTGGAAAACATATAAAAGAAAAATTATGCAAAATGCTGAAGTACTTTAGTAAATAGATGAATTCAAATAAGGCATTAAGCTTTGTGTGGTAATTATTGAGAGATGTAACTTTGGTGACAACTTGTAATCCTGATGACATTAATTTTAGATTAAAGTATAACGGAAAATTAAGAAATTTTGATACCACTTAGGAAATCCATGCTACATTTAAGCCTATGCATTAAAAGTGGCTACACCATTTCAAATCAAGGTTTGAATTTCCTACAAATTGTCTAGAATTAAATTTTAAAAAGTTGAAAAAAGGTTAAAAACAATATTTCTGGCAGGGTTGGAAGAAGTCTTGCTTATAGTCTGATGATGTTAGGTGGGTGGGGAAAAGTGGATACCTCATTTGTGTAATCAACTCCTCCTACAGTTCTCAGCCCAGATCCCTGAATATTCAAAGGAAGATTGCTCATATGTTGAAGTTGTGCACCTGCTATTATGGAAGTGTTTGAGGATATTTTTCCAGATTTTGAAAGTTCCTCATTATTCAGCAAAATTTAGTCGACACCGGCCATTGAAACTTTGACTTATTTTTGAATATTACCTTGTTTGTTTGATATTGAATTTGGATTATATAATTCATGGATTTAAAAAAGTTATTTTATAATTGACAACATTATTAAAAGAAGGATTTTTATATTGATGGACTGTTATAACTTTTCCATAAAATCATTTGCAGTTTACCTGTCGATTTAAACTTTTGTTGGTTCTTTTGTCCTATTGAATAAATACAATAACTATTGTTCTCTGTGTCGTTTATTCCAGTGCGGGATGTTTGTGCTTTTTAAAAAGGACAATTGCGCTTTTTCTACAGGACATTTGTGCTTTTTTACAGGACATTTGAGCTTTATAAACACAACATTTCAGTTATCATGGTTAACAGTTTAAAAAAGCACGTTCATTTATTTATATACAGCTTAAAGTTATCCTTTTTTTAGTCGTTAGGTTACTTTTCCACTGACCAATACCCCACAGGATTCTTCTGTTTTTGAGGAAAAATTAATTTCAATAAGTCCATGAGAATTTTGAAAATTGCATATTATTCAGTAAGTAAAAAAAAAAGTAATATCTTTTATTTGAAAAAATCAAGTAACTTGAATAAGTTTATTTTGTGAAATAGAAATAATCTATTGTGTAACATATAACCATTACACTTTAAAATAAAATTGATATCACTACTTGCAAAAAAAGAGATATTTTTGTTTGTTTTCAAAGACATATAATTGCTTCTTTTTATTAGAGATAAATGCTTATAAAATTTCACATCCGACACCTAGAAAGTCTGAATTGCTAAATATTTCTCCTTTGCCATCCCTTGACTTTGGTAAATCTGGTTAGAATTACAGGTAAACTTATATAGGTAAAAAGCGCAAATGTCCGGTCAATGTGGTTCAGGTCTATCAAAGAATAGTTTAATTTTGGATGTAACACATCTTCTGATTGACTGAGAGTTTTTTGTCTATCAGCTCATAGACATAGTTTTGTCATGTGACCGTGACGTCATCAACGTTTTTTTCACGATTTACTCCTGAAAAATGGAATTTAGAATTAAATTATAAGGAATGACTGTAATATTTTTCTTTCTATGAAGAAATAACATAAAAAATGTGGTGCACCCTGAGAAACCCGCATAAGATTAATGATTAAAGCGCAAATGTCCATATTGTTAAAGCGCAAGTGTGCTGTTGCGTTACAGGTAAAAAAGCACAAACGTCCTGTGCTAGTTTATTCATTGGGACCTTTAAATTTCTTCTAAGAGAAATCAATCACTCATTGATTAATTTACCTGAAGAAAAAAAAATATCTTTTAAGTAGACGAAAATACATGTATCAACTCACAAAACTGCATTTGATGTTGTATTTATTCAATATCAATACATATGTAATGTATTTTCAATCTTTTCAATATAAACACTGATTTAATCAAAATATTGATCCTGTTGAAAAGTTTCATTTCTTTCTCAATAATTTGTGATGATTTTTGATTATTTCAACAAGATAAAATAGAATAAATAGGTTCACATTTCAAATTCTGATGGTAATTGTTTGTATGCAAGAATTTCAGAAATCTCATCTATTAATCTTGCATTTTTGTCATTTAATCAACAGTTGTATTAATAAATGATCACAATAATTTCTGAAATTACAAAATATTAATTCTTTATTAATAATTTGATTTGGTTGAATGCACAGTTTTAAAAGGAAACATTTTTCAATCATATTATAAAATATTCATCTGAATGATTTGTTACACTCAAATGAAACAAGAAGTCTAAATACATTGGATTTAATATTTTGAGATGAAAAATATTTTGAAGAGCTTGATTGTATGTTTACAGTAACAAAATTAAGTGACAAACTAATGGAATCTGGCAGTGAAATGAACTCCAAGTAAACATTCTGAATGGGAAATGTTTGAATTCCATGTTTGAGGTTGTCAGAATATTAAAAAAATAAGAAGATGTGTTAGGATTACCAATTAGACAACTCTCTACAAGAGACCAAATGACGTAGAAGTTAACAACTATAGTTGACCGTATGGCCTTCAGCAATGAGATAAACTCATATCACATAGTATACTTATTTTGGTGTCATTCCCTAATACATAAGTTCTATTTATTATATTCAGATTGGCATAGAATGGAAATGAATTTACAAATATTTAGAACAAATGCATTCCCCATAAAAGAATTACTGCTCTTCAAATCAATCCCTAGAAATTCAATAAAATGTTGAATAAAAGGTTGTTTTGTTTACGATTTGCCTTCTGATTCCAGATTCCCAGATGGATTTTATGTATTGCATTCAAATAAGTATTGGTGTTATACTAATTCTATAGAGTTTTGTTTAACGACTGGTATATGTTGTCATTTGCTTTGATTGAGATATGATTTACTTAGTTTATATCTATTTAATGGAAAACTGGATATTGATTGTCTAAATTATTAATTCCCAATAATTAGTAGGCTGTTAAGGTTATATTGTGTACAAAGAGCAGTAGTGTAAGTAGCAAGGAATATGACAGGTGTTAGGGTTAGAACCAAGTAGTACATTGAACACTTACATACAAGAACATAATATCACACATATTGTCCATGTAATCAACTGAAAAAATAGGAGGAATCAAATCAATTATTCATTGGACAAAAGTTGGGTATGATTATAGACGATTGGCACCAATGTATCAATGCAAAGATCAATACCACTATCCATGTGTATAGTGTAACATTACTAATAACTATTGAAAATTTAATCAATTATGTATAATTATTGATAGCTGTTATTCTTGTTTTCCTTCTATCAGTCCTTTAAATCCCTGGTTGGAATCATAAATGGTATTCTCTCTTGATCCATTACAGACAGACCAATATTGCTGATAAAGACAGCTCTATTTACTTTCACTTTGAACGCTTGACAGAAGTCGAGAGTTGAATCAGAGAGAGCATGTTTTAGAGGAATACGGTTTAGCATTGTATCTACATGTCATTTTAAAGTTTGATATTATATATTTATCGAGCACATCACAACACAGAATTAGTTGATGAAAGAAGATTCTTGGTGATACAGTTAATATGAGGATCAATAATCATAAGTCCGTTGAATTGCTTGTTTATATTTTTCACATCGTCAGATCATGTAAACTAGCAATTTAGTTATCTGTACTTTTACTAGCTAACTGTATTGGATATCGATTCTAAGAAAATTGTTACTCCTACTTAAACTTTAAATTATCAATAGGAATAATCAATTTTTTTTAAATATTAAAAAAAAGTGGTTTTGCGATTTTTACAAGAAACACTCTTTCTTATAAAGAGATCAACTAGGGAATATGTTTCAAAAGTTAAAATTATTCAGTTGATGATTGTGTAATAACTTGTGTTTGCTGATTGGATTCAGATCTTCGTTACATCAATTTCACTTTATTTTGTTGGAGATTTTTACAATTTGCAGAGTGTTATTTCTGGGAAAAAGATGTGATGCTTCTAGGGTCTTCCGTTTATCTGTAGATTAGAAATTTTTTGCCGTAAAATTTGATTTAAAGAGATTTACAGATAAGTGTTAGGTTATCTACTAGACTGGAAATGAAACCTAACTGAAACTATAATTAGTAGGCTTTTTTCATAGCAAGAGATATTTAAGCAATTTTGAAAGAAAACTGGTTAAAAATGGGATGCCGGTATCATTTGTTTTATATTGTTCTGGTTTTCATATTGAAGGATGTATACACACAGCCAGGAATTGATGGAATTAACCCTGGAATTAATGGACCATTTTATACACCACAATATAAAGACGTCAAGATTAACCCAGATCAGTAAGTTACTATTCATTAGTCTTAATTCAAATCTGCTAAAATGTAAAATTTACATTTTGATATCCGTGTTATAAGATCTTATATGGAATTTACCGTAATCGTTTTCTTGAAAGCTGCACATTAACGGTTTTCCATATTTATAAATGTTTGAACATTTTTATTTTTATGAGTTGACATAAACTCAAGCTTTAGACTTTAAGTTCTATTACAAAAGCATTTCTTTAATTTTTTTTCATTAAATTTTTTCTGTAACCATATGTATACCTTGTGTAAAGTCCTATGTAGATAGTTGGAAATATGACAAGAATTCTTTAAAATGGGACTTGTATGGAAATTCATCTTCTGACAACATTTTAAGAAGAATACAGTTCAATTTATGCAAGTGTTTTTTTTTAAATGCAAGATTTATCCATATTCTGAAAGAGTCTAGAAAATCTTGAACATTTTCAAGTACAAGTATGTAATGCATTTCATATTTTAACTGTCCAAATGTATTTAAAAAAAAAACTTATTGGTCTAAGAGCATTGAGATTAAACCCAGCTTAGAATATAACTTGAATTCCACAAAATGTACATCTATGCCACTACAAAAGTTGTCATATTTTTTTTTTCATATTTTTTCAAAAAAAAATTTTGTTTTGAAAAAAATCACAAAAAACCCAAAAGCCCCCTAATGTCTCCTCTTAATAAAGATTCTGAGTAATTTTATGTTTTTCCCATTTACCTTTAAAAAAACACTTGGAAATTTATATGTCAATGTGTTCACTTCTAAAACAACATGCAGTATAAACCACAATTTAAATAAATGTAATTGCCTCTTTGTAGTTCACATAGAAACCTTTTAGTTAAATTGGTCAATTTATCTTTTTATACCTAAAAATGGAACAAACAAATTATCAATAACTTATCATCTCCTTAACCTTCATTTTTACTGCAATTTTTCATGACATACTTGGCTCTCTCTCAAAGCTTAGTTTTTCCAATAAATTGTATCCTCTTTTTCTGAATAAATAAAGAATATTAGTGAGAGCATGTAGTGATTTTGAAAATGTGATCCAATTTAGTCCCTAGTCCTTGTGAATTTAATTATTTCCTCAATTACTGAATATCTACTCATAGCTTGAAGTAAAGTGAACCTAACATGTTCAAAAGATGGAAAAGATCACTTTAATTTTCCAATGACATATTGAAGCACTTTCTTGTATGGAATTAAAGTGGAAAATGCCCAACAAAATGAAATCATAAATTATTTGAGAATTGTTATTGAATAGCCTACTGCCTGTCCGCATTAAACTTATGAATTTTTCTTGTTTGCATCGCCTGTAAACAATTTGCAAATGATGTAGTGCAAATGTTAATTGAAATGCAAATGAAAGTTAATTGTTATAAATTGAGAATTCCATTTTCAGTAGTTGAGTTCATACAGTTTCAATGTGTTGCTCAATAAATCGGTGAATCCACAATAAATTAATGGATGTTCTGTATGCATGCAACGGATGATCAGATGAAAAATTTGTAGTCTCTATGCAGACTGACAGATTTAAATTAACGAATTCCAAAATGTCTGCTCTGCTTGAATTCAAATTGATGAAAGCAAAAAGTCTAGGAGATTCAAGGAAAAACTGATAAATGAAAATAAAAATAAATGCAAAATTGGTTAAGGTAATGAGCTAAAACCTTATTTTTGACATCGATAGTAAATTTCTCTTGTGAAAAGTTGATCATAGTTATAGTAATCCAATTCAAGAAATAGCAAGTCTGCTGCGAACAGGAATAAAAAGGATTACAATTTAATACAGTATGTCTGCAATTCTGTTGAGATGAATTAAAATTGGTAATAATGGAAGAATATATAAGGTTTAAATAACATTTGTTTTAGAATAAGTCTGTTCACACTGATATTTCAATATTGCTTATCTGTTATATTGTCTTTTGTCAATCTGAGAATGGAATTGAAGTTGGATTGGAGTAGAGAGAGGATTTTATGAATTAGAATGATAAATTGTTGTAACTTTGTTAAATATTACATCCACATGCATCAATTGAAGTAATTCACTTTCGTCTGATCAATTGTTTATAGAACAATTTCAATTCGTTGTATGTCCTTATATGAAAATTAAGAGGAAAGAAAAGATGAAATTAATCCACTCAAAAATATATACTGAAATATACTTGCTGCATCAATATATTTCAGGATATACGGAAAGTAAAAAAAACTGCTTTTCAGGAAAGTTGTGCTTCTTTGTTACATTTGTTTGTTTTTTATAGTGATTAAGATGATAACACAATGTTGACTGCTGTACCCCTATTTTTGACATTTTTACCTATTGTGTCCGTTTATTTTTTATTCACGCATCGTTGTCAATATAATGGAATTTGATGCGACTGTCATACAAGTGAGAGGTTTAGCTAGCTATATAACCAGGTTCAATCCACCATTTTCTACATAAGAAAATGCCTGTACCAAGTCAGGAATATGACAGTTGTTATCCATTCATTTGATGTGTTTGAACTTTTGATTTTGCCATTTGATTTGGGACTTCCCTTTTTGAATTTTCCTCGGAGTTCAGTATTTTTGTGATTTTACTTTTTGCATACTCATGAATTAAAAAAAAGAAATATTATATATCTTTACCTTTGAAAAGTTCAAGTCGGTCTTATAAATTAAAACAAGCATGGGTAAAACTTTAATGTGCATTTTTGTATGCATAACTAATAGATCTAACAGCGTGCAAGATTTATAAACTTTGTAAGACATGTTCATTATTTTGACTTGATTTTAATGGATTTAAAGATGAGAATAGAAGGGTTTGACATAATATATCTATAACAACTGTTTGTATAAGCTGAATATGGTTAGGATATTTATTGGTGATGACAAAATTAGGAAAATTAAAAAAAGAAACTTGCTGGAAAAATGTGGTAATAAGAAAACTTTTGATTTAATCTCTTATGTGCATTCTGCATTATTTCATTTAAGTAGTAGCCTTTTTTCACTCTCCTATATGGTAGAAAGGTCTGACCATACACTGACCTTCATTTTCTTGTTCATTTTAAAAAATTTTGTGGCATGGTATCAAATCAAGTTATCAAATGTCCATTCATTGATAACTTATTTAAAGATATCTCTTTGTATTAAAAAAACCCAAACCTGTATAGTACTGATATCTGTGCTCTTGACACATGTTTTTGGAATAACCAACCATCAGATTTAAACTTCAGAAAGCCAAGAATATTTCAGTTTGTCAGTTTCTTGGTGAATGTTGGTAGTTTACCTGTGTGCTCTGATTCAGTTTTTCAGTGACTTGCAGAATGTTCATCCTTGTACTCCAGTCCTTCCAACAATAACACCTTCCACCCTGAAATAGTGATAAATGTATAGATTGTGATGTCAAACTCTGTCAGGCAGACAAATAACACATAGGCCATTGATACTTAATGTTTTAAAATAAACTCCATTGTTTTGTAAAGCTGTCTAAATTAACAGATACTCCACATTTGATTTTGTCATATACCTCATTTTTTAGTAGGTTATATATAGTGATGGGGGTATCTCTGTAGACAGGGGCGGGTCCAGGTGAGGGCGTAATGGGCGTACGCCCCCCCTTTTAAAAAAAAAACTATCGTAATCTGCTAATATTGTATTGAATATGGCAATTTATCATATCCATTAATTATTTTATGTTTTTTTTAACTAAAAAAAGGTCCAAAAAATATTTTGCCTCGCTCCGCTCGGCCAAATATTTCATTCTACGCCCCTTCTTTCAAATATCATAGAAAAGCCCCTGGTAGATCTGTCCTTTTGCCTTCAATCTCACTTTCATTTTTAAGTAGGTTATATATAGTGATGGGGGTATCTCGGTAGATCTGTCATTTTGCCTTCAATCTCGCTTTCATTTTTTAAGTAGGTTATATATAGTGATGGGGGTATCTCGGTAGATCTGTCATTTTGCCTTCAATCTCACTTTCATTTTTTAAGTAGGTTATATATAGTGATGGGGGTATCTGTAGATCTGACCTTTTGCCTTCAATCTCACTTTCATTTTTTAAGTAGGTTATATATAGTGATTGGGGTATCTGTAGATCTGACCTTTTGCCTTCAATCTCACTTTCATTTTTAAGTAGGTTATGTAATATAGATACAATGAATAAGCGTTGATTCTTGAAAAAAAAACCATGAGCCCGGAGGGCGAATGGTTTGTTTTTCATGAATCAACGCTAATCCATTGTATCTATAACTTAACTATTGTGTTAATGTCTTTTCAAAATTAAAGCCTTTTCTTAATTAGAAGGTATTGTAAGTGAGTTTAAATAACCATGTTATCATGTTCAACGATTCATTAATAAATCTAAGATCACATTTAATTGGTTAGAAAAATACAAATATAACACAACACGTCTGCCTTTAAATTATCAGGCATCTGAATATTATCTATGTTTACAAAATAAGACATATTCGAACTTATTTCTAATAAAATTGAGAATGGATATGGGAATGTATCAAAAAGACGACAACCTGACCAAAGGGCATATATAAATTATATATAATAAGTATGTTACCGAAATTTCTAGCAAGAAGCCTAATTCTAGGCACACCACGATTTACTAGCATAGGAATTTGCAAAAAACATTTATAAAATTATGTAGTAAAGCAGATGAAATCATTCTATATTTATAAAACAAAAATAGACAAATTGAATGTAATCATTTTCATTTCAAATATGTGAAATAGACAACAATAAACGGTAAAACTCGCTATTATTACACAAATATCCATAATTACATACAAAATAACAAAAAAAAAACAACAGAAAAACTACAGAATAGGGACAACAAAGAGAATACAGGGATTCGAACCTAAACTGACAAGTCCCTACCTTTAGATTGACTCTTTAACTCATTGTTTTGAACCATGCTAACCTCGCGGCTACGAACCTATACTATATGATTGCCTATTATGTATATATAAAGGTACAAGCCCTGTGTGTTAGTTGTACCGA